TTGCTGGCATGCATCTGGCCCTGGTTGCGACCCTTAGCATTGAAAAAAATCACAGAAGTGACTTTTTCACAACTCTGCCAACTTTTACAGAGAAAAGGAGCAGGGTAGCCAGCAATAGCTTTTTAAATACAATAGGTGGGGTCAGTGGCTTTGTCCCAGAGGCTTGGACAAGATGAGGCACTCAGCCAGGCAGAGGTCTGGGAAGCAGGGAAAGGGCAGCCAGTCCGTGGCCAGAGGATGCAACAAGCTTGACCTGCACGTAGACGGGCTAGGACCAGCTGGCCACAGGTGCAGAAAGACCATGGGACAGGAGTCAGAGATGAGGTCAGAGGTGGGGACCACAGTCTGGGAGGCATCTTAGGGACACTCTTTTAAGTGTGGCTCTGACCACTGGAGACCTTGGGGTGGCCTCACCTGCTGGATGCTCTGTAAGGTCTTTCTGGCTCTGGGTCAGAAAAGTATATCCAGCAGACTAGAACAGAAGCAGGGAAGAAAGCGTGGACAGTCCTGGTGGCCCACATGAGATGACAGTGGCAGGAGGAGGGACAGGCTCTGACCCGGATGTGCCTCACAGGCAGAGCCAACAGGACCTCCTGGGCACTGGAAGGGGAGTGTGAGGGAAGCAGTGGCACCAAGGGGACCCGAGGTTTTGACCCTGAGGTGGGAAGGATGGGTTTTGCTGCTGCTGAAATGCAGACGGCTGCTGCTGGTGACCCGGGCTGCATTTCTAATGTGTTGAGGGGGAGATGGGCCATGTGGGGCTGTGGGGCAAGCAGGCAGCCACCTTGCCCAGAGCGCAAGAGAGAAGTGGGACTGACTGCTCGAGGAGCTGCTGCAGAGCCTCAGCAGCAGATGGTTGGCAGTTGGGTGACGGGGAGCTAACTAGGTCACCAGGGCATGAGCGCAGACAGAATAGATGTGGATCAGGCCAAAGGCAGCACCATTCAACGCAGAAAAGGTGGAGAAATAAGGGAGCAACCCAGGACACGCCTAGAGTCCCGGCCATTCTGGAGGCTGAGACAGGAAGTTCCCGGTTGAGGCCAACCTGGGCATCTAGTGCAACTATCTCAGAGAGATAGGGACTGAGGCCAAGGATCGGCGTGACACATGGCGTCCTTGGGCAGCACAGCAGGAGAAGAAACAAGAGTATAGCCTCATGGAAGCCCTGGAAAGGAAGGACGTGCTAGAAGGCCACCCTGGCCTTGGTGTCCGATGGGCTGCAGCGGCCCGCAAAGCCCAGGAGCTAGAGCTCGGGCTAGAGTGGTTTGGGGGAGCAGGGACTCATTGCTGATGAGGGTGGGTGTTTGTCCACTAACCATGCAGTAGCATCGAAGAGGACTCTGGAACTGGGAAGTCAGCCAGCTTCCTCCCAGCTCCGCCCCAAAAGCTTGGTGGGACATATCTCCTCCTCTCCCTCCTCACTGCACCGCCCTCCTGCCTGGGGTCAGGCTCTCCAGCTTTCCTCCACACAGGCATCTCTGTTAGAGCTGGAAGCTAGCGCTCTCGCAGTCCCGCCCTCCCTCTCCCCATGTCCTCGAGGTGCCAGCTGGCCCCTCCTGCAGCTGACAGTGCTTCCTGTGGCCTTGCCCTGCCTTCCTCTCCTCACCGCTGCCTGTGTCAAACTCCATCCCAACCACGCATTTCACTCCTGCCCCAAGCTGGCCTAATGAGCTTGCCCTGCCCAGTCTGGTCCCTGCAGTTCTCCATCCCCTGGCGGACCATAGCCAACACTCAGCATGGCATCCTTGGGCAGGGAATCGCCACTGTGCAAAGCCAGGTCTGAGTCAGGAGCCATTGCTAATGCCCAGCAGCCCCCACCATGTCACCCGACACCTGTGTCACTGTCACAGGCTGGGGCTGGGGTCCTTGCCATCGTGCTGTGCACACATGACACAGTGCATGGCTTCCAGTAGGAGTTTGCTAAGTGCCTGAGAAAGAATGTTTCTAGAGACCGGGCTCACACACTCCCTAGTGCTGCGAGCACCCCAATTGCGGCAGGGCCCGCTCGCTCCACCACCAGGTCCTTTCTGTCTCTGTCACCCCCAGCCCTGGTCAGCCCCTGTAACAGTAGACACTTCTACAGTGATTCTACATCAAATGTACTGTATGCTTCCCATGGGGCCCGGAATGTCACATTCACAGGGCTAGATTCCTGTAAAATGAGGATCATTTCCCAGGAAAGCATGGTCTTGGCTCCAGAAGAAGGCAAGATGGCTGGTGAGGTGGCTCTGGCCATCCTATTAAAGTTAGGAATAAGACATGATTACCCTTGCACCAGTGAGATAGCTCAGCAGACTAAGTGCCTGTTTAGGCAAGCTCAGGGACTAGGGTTCAAGCCCCAGCACCACATGCTGCAGCCACCGAGACCTCATGTAGTGGCACAAGCCTATAATCTCAGCTCTGGGGAGGCTGAAAACAGTTGTGTCACTATGAGTCTGAGCTGTGCAGTGAGACAGACCCTGAACCAAATACATTTTAAAAAGCTCTAACCAATATAATAAGACAGGAAAGATGAAAAGGAAATATTAATATCAAGGAAGAAAGAATACCATTATTTGCAAAAAAAGAAATGCATAGCTGGAACATGAGGTACATTTGTAAACCAGTAAAAAGATGAAAACACCAATAGAAAAAAAATAAGCAAAAGATAAAGTTCAGCAATTCACAAAAGAAGAAAGACAAACCACCCCCGAAACAGAAGTGAGCATTCCATACTGCTCCTAGCAAACGTAAGCACTCAGCCGCGGTGGGGAGGGAACAGAGGGACTCTCGTATCTGGTTCTTCAGAAGGCGGGCCAGGTACACGCACCTGCTGGGCGGCGTGCTTTAGAAGCTTGGAAGTATATGTACCATTTAACTGTGCAATTCTATTTCTAGGAATTGAATTTAAATATTTTAAGATAAAATCCAGATGTGCTGGTGCACACCTGTTATTCCAACACTCTTGGAGGCTGAGGCAGGAGGATTGCAAGTTTGAGCCCAGTCTTGGCAACTTAGGGAGACTCTAAAATTTTTTTGAACAGCTGGGAGTGCAGCTCACTCCCCAGTACCAATAAAACAAAGAAATGAAACACTGGGATGGAAGGAGATAAAAAGAGTAGACTGATAGTCAAGGAAATTAATTATATCACAAATATTAAAATAAGTTACATAGTTAGTTCACTGAATACGCTATGATAAATTCAAAAGTAAAACATATGGCCACAAAAATTATACTGAAGTGGTCATTTACAATGTTTGAATTCTTCACCATTTTTGTTTTTAGTTACTGAGACAAAGTCTCGCTATGTAGTTCAGGCTGGCTTTGAACTCAGAATGTAACTCAGACTGGCTTTGAACGTGGGGTGATCCTCCTGCCTCAGCCTCCCGAGTGCTGGGATGTCAGGTATGCACCACCACACCTGGCTGTTCACAGTCTTTTTAAAGTAGGGGGGGAATCAAGTTTCAAAATGACACACAAAGCAGTCACTATTTTCATTATACAAATGCACCTCAATTTACAGTGGAAAAACATCCCAATAAAATCATCCTAAAATGAAGAAGATGGCATAACAAAGATGTGCTTGATGCCCCAAGCCCTGCTGAGCACCAGCACGCAACCAGACAGCCCACTACAAGGCGCCACTGTATCTCCTGGTGACCTTGGGGCTGCCTGGAGCCGGCAGCAGGGACTGCCGTCAGCACACCTGGGAGGATCCACATGCGCAGCTCACAGTCTGGTTGCTTTCTTGTCATTCTAAAGCTAAAAATCGTGGAAGCAAGACCTTTATAAACTACAGCCATCCATGTGTACATTATTTTTGTCTCAATCCGTACATTAGCATACACAGCAGGTTCATAGTGGCAGATCTGCGTGAAGAGGTCTTTTGACATGTTTCAAAGGGGTCTTATATCTAGAACCGTGAAGCTGTAGGGAGCGCGCTGTCAGGAGCACCTTTCCCGCCCCCTTGGGCCCTGTGTGGGATGCCTGGGGCCGACGCAGGCCAGCGTCGCGGCAGGCTCTGATCATACTCTGTCACAACTGCGCCATGCCTGGCCTCAGAAAGCCCACATAACCTCAGCTTTCTCAAGAAAGAGGAAGAACAACCTCACGACACTTGGTGAAACTTACGCATTGAGAAGAGCACTGTGGAGAGGCCTGGGCCTCTCCAGCATCAGATCTGAGTTGTGTCAAGCTGCTAAATCCAGCAACCAATTTGTAGAAGACAGAGGAGGAGCAGCGGGTTCCCAAGCCCCACAGGGAAACAGCGGATCCCTGCTGTGAGACTACAGGACAAGGAGCCAGTGTGCACCACGAGTCAATCCCGTGAAGCAGAAGACTAAGTATATGTCCTGGTCACCGAGCAAACGAATGATTCTATTACTATAATGACATTTCAGAGAAACTTGCAAATTTAAACCCTGACTAAACATAAATGACATTAAATGACTGTTAATTTCTTAGGTGTTACAAATAATCATGCTTGTGTTTCTTCTAAAAATCCTGTAAAAGACACACTGAGATAATTACAAACAAATGATAGGATGCCTGATGTCATAGTCACTTTTCTCATCCCTGAGACAAAATACCTGACAGCCATAAGTGAAAGCACGAAAGGATGCTTGGGCTCAAGTTTGGAAGGGTTACATCTACGGTCTGTGGATGGTGTGCTCCATGGGTGCAGCTCTATGGAAGGAAGCCAGAGCCTGCCATGCCAGCAGCAGCTCCCCTGGCACCTGATCACTTCAGCCCTGTGCCCAGATGTCCCCCAGGGGCTGCCCTGAGGATGGGGGTGGGGCATGGCAGAGCTGTAGCCTTGTGTCCTTCTGCACATTGGTCCCTGCCCCTGAGACAACCCTGCTTTCCTGCCACCTTTGCCTCCCTTGGGTGACCTGAGAATGGAATTGACACAGCTGGGGGTGGGCAGCAGGCATGGAATGCAGACACGCTCCCAGCCTCCTGCTCCATCTACCTGGAGCCAACTTGTCACCCTCCAGTGGGTCTCCCCTCTTCCCACCAGGTTCTGAGGACCTGTGCATTGGTCCCCGCTGTCATTGAGGTCCTTGTCAACTCCTACACTCAGCTCCGTGTGTCCGAGTCCTGGAAGGAGATGATTCCCGATGAAGTCTATCAGGTATAGACCTGCCCTGATTTCCTTCCTCACCAGAGACTTTGTCTCTCTGCTGATTAGTGTGGGGTTTTGCACTGAAGTGCAGGAGGTGTCAAACATCACAAGGAAGGAGGGAGAGAAATTGGGGATGTGTTTGCACAGGTTTCCATTTTCCCAGGGGCTCAGGAGGGTGTGTCCACATCGTTAGCCCTCCAAGTCTGTGGATTGTCCACCCATGGAGCACACCATCCACAGACCAGAAATACTGGGGGAACCATGTGTAGGCTGAACATGGATAGATTTTTCTTTCTTGTCACTGTTCTCTAAGCAATGAGGACTGTTGGGGCACAGGTGACCCAGGATATGGGAAGGGAGACCTTACTGCTGCCCTAGTACAGACTCTGCCTTCTTTTCTGGATGTGCCAGTCTGGGCTTGCATGTGGGCATCATCTGCTGGTGGCTCGAGATATGGCCATACAGCGTCAGGCACCACATGTGTGCACGGCAAGGTCTGCAGGTTACCGCAAAGAATGCGAGTGGAGGAGGACTGCGAAGAGTTCAAGGCCAGCTTAGGTTACACAGCAATACCTTGTGCTCAAAAAACCACTGGTGGGGCATGGTGGGATAGCTCAGTTGTCTAAAGTGCCTGCTTGGGCAAACTCAGTCCTGTGCAGGGGACCACAGTTCAATCCCCAGCACCACATGCTGCACCAGACCCACTCTTAAGGCATGCTGAGCCAGTCAAAGACAAAAAGAAAAACAAAAAACACTGGCCTGCATCCAGGGCATGCTGCTAAGCCCTGAGCTCTGGGTTCCTGGGCCATCTCTGGCCAAAGGGAAGGGCTTAGCAGGTTGGTTTTTAGTTAACAAAGCCACCCCTGGAGCCCAAGTTCCCCTGACTCTGTAAGCTATGCTTCAGAAAGCTACACAAGCCATACACAAGTGGCCCTTGTGGCTCCATGGTGGCTGCCTGGTATCCGTGAGACCCAGAAGGCTGGCCTGTTCCATCTGCAGCCTGGCTAGGAAGAAGCCCTCATTGGCTTAGTGCACAAGTTATGATCCACCCACCTTCCTTTCCAGATGCACCAGCCTTTCTACCAGTCCCTCTTCACCCTAGCCCACACTCCTCGCTGCCTGCAGCACCTCTGTCGCTGCAGCCTTCGCAAAATCTTTGGCAAAAAGTGCTTTGACCTTGTGCCCCTGTTGCCCTTGCCCATGCCCTTGAAAAACTACATGCTGTTGGAGCCAGAAGGTGTTTTGCACTGAGAACCAGAGCACCATGTGGTACCAAGCTCCTGTCTTCCTGTGGTGTTTGGAGGACAGTGCCCTGGCCAAGAGGGGCATAGCTGCATGGGCATCCCAACTCCATCACTTTCCATGTGCCTGGTGGAAATGCAGAACCACAAGCCTTAGGCTTACCTTAAAATGGGACTGGTGATCAAGCTCCTTTCTGCCTCAGTTATGTTGAGGATCACATGCATTTCTAACTGTGGCAGCAACAAAAGTTCAACTACTAATATATACAGTTTTCCCAAAGTGACTTAGCAGCACGTGTGCTGCCCCCTGGACTATGGACCAGCTCACAGGAAGGACTCCTCCTCCTGGAGCCTAGCTACCTGGAGTGGGTCTGTGCTCAGGACCCATCAGAACCTTGTGCTGAGGACCTCTGTTTCCAAGAGCAGCATACTTGGCCTGAGCAAGTAATCGTGGGACAGTCCAGCACTCCCAGGGGCACAGTGGAGGGACAGGGAGACATCCTCACTGTCACCTTGATCTGATGTGTCAGCTTGGCTGGATTAAGAACTTCCTGCTACATCAGCAGAGCACGCTCCTGGGAGTGTCTGGGAGGGCTGTGGGGCGTGGCCTTGGTACTCTGCGTGGGCCAGGTCCCTTCCTCTCCTACACCTCCCCCTGCTCTGCCTCCAGCTGCTGTGAGTCAAGCAGCAGTGCTCCTGCCTGTCTTTCCACCATGGTGTGCCTGCCTCGGACTGAATCCCCTGCAATGTGTGTCAGATTAGCCCTCTCCTGCTGAAGTCGCAGGCATTTGGGTGTGGTGGCCCACCCATGGGAAACTAAAGTACCTCACCCTGGAGAACAGCCCCAGAAGACAGGTGCCAGGAGTCCATGGGGGCTAGCAGGGTGCCTCAGCTGAGACTGAGCATGCACAGTAAGAGAGACACCCTCATGTGCGCCTTGTCTTCTGTGTGCTTATGCTTTGATATCTGGGGCCTTGGTGGCTCTGAAGGACAACCTGTCCCAGGACTCTCCAGGCCCTAGAGATAAGAACTAGTTCACCACAGCAAGCCTACCAGTGCAAAGCCCAGACTTCGCCATCTTCTGTCCTGGGCCATCTGACACCGAGCTACCACACTTCTCTGCTCACTCTAGGGCAGATGTGCCCCAGAGCTACTGAAAGTGCTGACAGCTGGTCCTATGCCTGTCCATCCTGCCTTCACACTCTTCCCCTGCCTCCTCCTGAGCAGTGCTGGTGCTTCCCTGTGTGAGCGCCTGGTACGCTGAGCTCCATGTTCCTGAAAACAATGGATAATAAAATCTACTCAGTGGAACCCATCTCTCAATCTGTTGACCTTACTGTACCTTAAACTTTCTTTTAAGACACTTTTTTCTTTGGCAGTGCTGGGGATTGAACCCATGCCTCACGCGTGTGAGGCAGATGCTCTACTACAGAGCTGTTCCACAGCCCAGTACAAGAGGTTTAAAGCAAGGACTCCTTATGGCCGTCCTCCAAGGATCAGTGCTGGCTTCTTTTCTTTAGGGTTAGAGTCAGAGCAAGGGACTGTGGGATGGACCCAGGAGGTGAGGAGAGGCACACCCATCACCCAAGCCTGGGAGCACAGTTCAGACTACAGGGAATAGCTGCCCCTGAGAGATGTGGGTGTTGACAGCCAGGAGGCCGATTCAGAGCCAGGCTCCTCCTGGAAATCAGCTGCTTTTGCTTACCTGGAAAGTGAAAGTGGACACCCCTGTCCGGAGGACAGGGATCCATAAGCTGGCTCTTATAAAACAGGTCTTCTCCAGCTCCAAGGGATCTGGTTGAAATATGGGCTCAGACCCTGGCAATTAGGGTGGGGGCACCCCAGGTTCTGCAGGTTGCATGCCCAGACATTTCAGGAGCCAGTGAGCCTGGATGTCACCTCTGCCCCTGGCCTAGAGGCTCCACCCTGGGGAAGGACTCCAGAGCCAAGGCCCAGAATCCAGCCCAGAAAAGGTGCTCGGCAGAGGACTCCTTGTCACAGCCAGCACTTTGTGATGAGAAGAATGCTGGGGAAAGACTGTAAAGGGGGACCCAGAGCCACGCCATTGCTAAGAACCAGTAACCGTGGTAGGAACAGAAACACAGCCTGTCCTGCCATGGCGGAGCCCAGTCCTGCCGAGTCCTGCTCGTGGGGTTCCAAGAACTTTCTTCTCCTGCACACTCTCTAGACCAGCGCCTGTCAGAGCTGGGCTGAGGCATGGCAGCAAGCCTGTCTTGCACACCCAAGGGCCTGGGTTTGATCCCCAGCCCAGTAAATAAATAAATACTTTTTAAAAAATGAAATACTGCTGGCCAAGTAGCTCAGTGGATTAAAGCACCTGCAAGCAGGCCCAGGGGCTGGGGGTTTGATCCCTGGGCCTGCTGTGCCAGCCCCTCCCCTGGGGGGTGCTGAGACAGCAATTGAGACTGGGCGTGGTGGCACACACCTGTAATCCCAGCTCTTGAGAGGCTGTAAACAGATGGATCACTATGAGTCTGGTCTACTAGTGAGACTCTGAACACCCTGTAGACCCTTCCCTAAAAATACAAAAAATAAAAAAGTAAAAAATAAAATAAACTGTTTGGGGTGTATCTCTAACCTGCACTAAATTTTAAGTTTGTTTTGATGTGTCAGGGAAGAAAGCTGCTCTCCTTGAAGACTTGACTTTCTGCTTCCAAAAACCGAAAGAACAATAACCAATGATTATGTTTCCAAAAATTTTTTCCCCCAAATTACAGCTTTAAAACAGTACCACAAGCCCCAGGGCTGTTGGAAATTCTACCACTGTGAAGGAATTTTCTTTCCATTTTCACCCCCAAGAATTTTCTTTTAAAATTCACATGCGCCCAGAAAGAGCTCATCTGTACAGCTCTTAGGGGAAAAGCCGCTTACTCACCCGCCCCACCATCTGCTCATTCATTTGTGTCGGATTCATTTTCATTGTACAGTGCATGATATAAATGCATCCTCGTCGCCATCTTTAAATGTATAGCTCATCGGTGTTAACTAGGCTCACGTGGTCGGGCAGCAGTTGGCTAAAGCCTCCCTGGCACAGAACAACTGAAGTTTCCGAGCAGGAGCAGCTAGGCAGGAGGCTGGGCAAGAGATCACCGGAGACCAGCCCTGGTGGCACAGCCAGCCAGCCCTGTGTCTTCTTAAAATAAATATTTAAAAAAATACTAAGTCTCTGGCTCATCAAGCAGCCCCCTGTTTTCCGCCTGCCGCTCCCATAGCGACCGCTATTCTGCTGTTTCCGTGGCTCTGACTACGCCACAGACCTCTCATAAGCAGAATCAGACAGCATTTGTCTGTTGCCAACTCGTTCCCCAGAGCCTGATCACCTCAAGACTCCTCCATGCTAGGGGCCGGGGAGATGGCTCAGGAGAATAAGTGCTCGCCTGGCAAGTGCAAGGGCCTGAGTTCAATCCCCAGTTCCAGAGGGGGAGAGAGAGAGACACTCCTCCATGCAGTGACCTGGGGCAGAACCTCCTTCTCTGGAAGGCTGAATAACCTCCCACCAGACACGTGTACTGCTTTTTGTTTATTATTATTAATTATTATTTTGTATCTTTGAGATGGGATCTCACTATGCACTTCAGGCTGGCTGTGAACACACCTTGTAGCCCAGGCCAGTCTCAAACTTGCAAGAATCCTCCTGCCTCAGCCTCCTGCATTCTGGGATTACAGGCATGCACTGTCCGACACGCCTGGCCCGCGCACGCATTTTGTGTGCACTCTGTCTGTCAAAGGGCTCGGGCTGCTCCCACTGCACGGCCACTGTGAGGAAGGCTGCGGTGAAAGTGGGTGCAGAAGCTGTAGAAAGGTGGTGCCCTCAGAGGAGACTCATGTGGCCTTAGGAGACTCCTTTGCTTTATAAAGTGCTCAGCCCAAGGCATCTCATGATGGCGCCAAAAGCCACCTCAAACAATGTGAGTGCAAGGGTCTCTGCAGGGGCTTGCCTTGGCTCCCACATGGGATTGCCGGGCCCCTGGTGCGCCTCATTTTACCTGGCTGAGGGAGCAGAGGGCTTCTCCGAATCTGTTTTAAGTGAGGGCTGCTGCAGCCCACAAGGGTGGCCACTGCCAGCCCGTGGCTCTTGTCATCTTTCTGATCACATTGTCCTACAGGTGATCCTGGGACCGGCGTGTCCCTGCATCCCTCCCCATGGGCCCGTCATATGTGATGTGGCATTTGTCACCTCTGCCAACAGGAACATGCATGTGATGATGACACAGACCCTCCTGACTCCACGAGCCCTGCACCCTGCCCACAGCTCCCTCAGAACGAGGCGCCATGTCCAGGAGATAAGCGGGTGGTGGAAGTGAGTTCTGTCTCCTGGCTTCAAGGGGCTGTGAGGACACTCATGAAGGTAAGGGACAGAAATGGCAGGTGTAGCTATCAGGTGTCTGGCACACTGAATGGGATGGAATTCATCCACAGCTGGGCAGAACATAATCATCGGCAATGCTTTGATTTGCTCTAGCAAGAAAGAGTTGTTTTGAGGTCCGTGTTTGGCTGTGGACTGTGTGCTGCATGTGCTGAGACAGGCTGAGAGAAAGGGACCACATCATCTACATAGAAAAGGAAGAAAAGGAGCAGGAGGAGGTGGAAGAGGAAGAGGAGAAGAGGAAGAAGAAAAGGAGGAAGGGAAAGAAGAGAGGAGGAGGGCAGCAGCCTGCGTGCGGTGAGGAAGGAGCCACTGCCCCTGAGACTAAGATCTCAGGCAGCCTGCTTCATTTCAGGGAACCAAGTATGCCCGCTATGTTCCAATTAAACAGCATCTTCTTCATTTCTTGTAAAGCCCTTACTGGACATCCTCGCTCTCCTTGTTGGCTGTGCACCAGAAATTTAACTCTGTGGGACTGAAGCTGTCTTCTTCAATTGCACACAAGTTTTATTGCTACATTCACCTGGCACAAAATTCATAAGCTAATAAAAAACACATAGAAGTTTACCTAATGTTTCTATTAAAAGGAAAACACAGCAAAACAAGATTTTCCTCCTACTTGCATGAAGTACCTTCGATCTTTTCTGGTTTTTGTTTTGTTTTGTTTTATGTTTTTTGATGCATGGTCTCACTGTGCGGTTCAGGCTGGACTCACACTCACAGAGATCCTCCTGCCTCAGCTGCCCAAGTGCTGTGGGGCACCATGATGCCCAGTGTGGCCCTAGAAAAAGGGTTCTGTTGGTGGCACCCATTCCTAGGACAGGATGGAACCCCAGACACCACACAGTCCACAGTCCATGGGTGATGCGTCCATGGGCCAGACCCTGTGGTGTGTTGGCTTTAGAATTCTGGGTGCAGCCCTGGGCCTGCCTTTTCAATGTATTTGTGTCCGTTTAATTTCCAGGTTACTTGATAATCAACTACTCAGCATATATGGAAGACAGTCAAAGCTTGGTGTGGTGGTGCACATCTGCGATCCCAGCACTCAGGAGGCTGAGGCAAGAGGATCATTGCAAGTTCAAGACCGGCCTGGGTTACAAAGTGAGCTCAAGGCCAGCCTAAGCTGCATAGCAAGACTCTGTCTCTAAAAGACAGAGGAGATGAGAGGAGAGGAGAGAAGAAGAGAA